ATGAATGTATTTGATTAAAGAACTTAGAAATATGTATGTGACAAATGGAAATGATAGAAAAACAAAAATAGATATTCTCTCTTTACGGTGAATAATCTGCATAGTGAGCTCAAAGTCGATTTTAGAATAGAAATCAACGTTATTATCAATATAAAACTTTTAAGTTTTCGAAAGAGGCTGATGTGAATCGGTATCATTTATTCACCTAAATCTATATCCATACCCTTTCCTTATGAATAGTGTTGAATTAAGTTAAAGTGTTGTCAATAAATTTCGTAAAAACTTTTGTGAACCTACGACTATAATACCGAAGAAATAGATATTCTTCGAAAAATCGATGGTCTTTGAAAATGTCATCATAATCAAATGTACGACATAAATTATTCTAATATCAGAGATTTGAACAACGAATAAGCATTTGAATGATGCTTTTCATAAACCTAAAATAAATATTCATTTCAAAAATGTTACAATTAATTTTATCATCAAATAAAGTTAATGTAAATGCTCCAAGAAATTCTCCTACTTTCGATAATTGATTTGAATCAAATTTAAACAAAACGAGAATTCACCATTCATTTGAAAGCACAGTATTCGCCTAATTTGTATATGAACATTTTCGTCTCGTCAGCGAATATTTTTTTTTGATAAATCATATATAAATCATAAACAATCATTACTTCTGATTTAAAATACAATGTCGATTATAATGAAATTTGAATGTTTACCAAATGAAATATTAATGAAATGTTTTCAGTATCTGAATGCCACAGATATTATTTATTCATTTAATCAATTAAATTATCGTTTTTCAAAGCTTATTCGAAATAGTCCATTACATCTTTCATGTTCTCAATATCAACAATCTTTATTTGATATTTATAAACATATGTTCATCAAATCATTAACTATTCTAAACTGTAAATTCGACGATTTATATGAATTATTTCAAAATTTATCGATGATAAAATATTTTAAAATCGAACATCTATATAATAATTTTATGACAGTTGATCAATTAAATTTACTTGATGTTACTGTAGAAAAATTTATTATCAATGATTCTCAAATAAACAAATTTGAAATTATTGAATTCTTATTAAATCAAATGACAAAAATTACAAGTTTTTTCCATATCATCATCTCAAATTCATATAATAGATGCAATTCGTTGGCAAAACCTGATCACACATTCACTTCATCATTTACATACATTTAAATTTTGTTTCGATTCTCATATTGCTGATAAACTTAAAATGAATGATAAATTAATAAAATGTCAACAATTTCAAACAACATTTTGGCAACAAAATCAATGGTTTATCAACTATGAAATTGATGAATTTCGATTATTAATTTATACAACACCATATATTCGTAAAGAATATAAATTATTTCCAGTCACACAAGAATTTATTTATTTTAATTGTAATGGTGAAAATATTTTCGATAATGTTACACATTTAACTTTATACAAAAATTCAAGTAAAACTAAATTCCATGATTTTCGAAATATTTCCTCGTTAACATTAAAAAGTTCATATGATAATTTTTCGAATAATTATAATTTAACAAACACTCAATGAAATTATGAATACATCGAATGTCAAACATTTAACAATTACTATAACTAATGAAATATTAATAGAAACAATAATAAATCAACTTCCAAATATAGATTCATTAACAATTCAAAAATCTATTTTATTATCATTATTAAATAATTGTAAATTATATGAATTATTGAAAACAAAGATTATAAAATTAGATATATCTATTAGTGATTTTATGGATGGAGACAGATTTTATTCGTTATATGAAAATTCTTCATCAAAACATGAACTATCTGAATTTAATATAGAAAATCTTGATGAACTATTGTTTATATTAAAGAGATATCCAAATTTATCAATGATTAGCTTAGGATACATTGGCTATAAAATATATTTATGGATTCAATTAAATTCATTAAGTTTAGATATTAATATTGATTATAAATTATTGAACGATCCAAATCGCTTGACAAAACCAAAATCATGTGAATTGGATCTTATCGTAGATTTGATTTATTAAATTTTTGTTATTCTTAATAATAAAAGAGGTCATGGCAAATCTCAAACTGGTACAAATTTCTACTAAATATCTGATCGCTGATATCTGATTTTTAGGAAGAAAATCAGATATTTACTTTAATATAGTCTTGAGGAACAGCATTAAAAAGCAGACATCAGATATTTACTTTCGCTACGAAGTTTGAAAATTCTTGTTTAAATATAATATTTGAAGCGTCATATAGTATATAGCTGTATTTTTAAAAAATACCAGCAGAAATCAGATATCAGATATTTACTTTCAATACAATATTTGAGGTTTTATTTAAATATAGTACATGGAGTCTCATATAGTAGTTATAGTTTTAAAAAGCTCAGCAGAAATTAGATATCAGATATTTACTTCTCTATATGATTTTCAAATTTTGACTATGGTGTCCATACAAGACACATACATATCCCTTTCATTTAGAAATCTTAGCAGAAAGTGGATATCAGATATTTACTATCAATATGAAGCTTGAAAATTTTTATTTAAATATAACACATGCAGTCTTATATAGTAGCTATAATTTCAAAAATATTATTAGAAAGCAGATACCAGATATTTACTTTCAACATGAAATTTGAAAATTTTTATTTGAATTTAATATACGGAGTCTTACATAGTAGCTATAGTTTTAAAAATATCAGTAGAAATCAGATATCAGATATCTACTTTCACTACGAAATTTGAAAATTCTTGTTTAAATATAATGTTAGAAGCGTTATTTAGCGTATAGCTGTATTTTTAAAAAATACCAGTAGAAAGCAGATATCAGATATTTACTTTCAACATGAAATTTCAAAATTTTGTTTAAATATAGTACACGAAGTCTCATATAGTAGCTATAATTTCAAAAATATGAGCAGAAATCAGATATCAGATATTTACTTTCAACATAAAATTTGAAAAGTTTTGTTTAAATATAGTACGTGGAGTCTCATATAGTAGCTATAGTTTTAAAAAGCTCAGCAGAAATCAGATATCAGATATTTACTTCTTTATACAATTTTCAAATTTTGACTATGGTGTCTATACAAGACACATACATATCTGTTTTATTCAGAAATCCCAGCAGAAATCAGATATTTACTTTCTGTAAAATATGTATGTATGTAGAGATACGTGAGTGTTTATTCAACAA